AGTTCCTAATAAAATAATATCTAATATTAATATACTTAGTTTTCTAAAAAAAAATCATATATTTATAGCTAAATTAAAAGCTTTCTGAGTATTCGTTTTTAGTTTAATTAGTTTTATAGGAATTAATATTTCTTTAAATAATTACTTTAGCTATAAGGCTTTTTTAATTACTAAAATAAGAATAATATACTTTACTTTTATAGTAATAGTTACTATAATTTTCTGTTTAGTACTAGCCTAGCTAATTATTTTACTAAATAGAATAAAAACTATACCGAAAATTAATTTATAATCTTATAAATCGCCTCTATAATTAGTATCTAAATATCTAATAAATTCTTTTTTAGATAAAATATTATATAAAATACTTATATTAAATAATTCCTTAATATATTATATTATATGCTTTTATATAAAGCTATAAAAGGCTTTAGAATAAGAATTAGAATATCCTAAATATCTAGTAATATAGTAAAAATCGGGTCTTAATACTAGAAATAGCTATATAAGTAATCCCGTATAACTTTAATATTCTATAATATTAATATTTTCTTTTTCTAAAACTATAGCTTAAGCTATTAGTATAAAAATAGAAATAGAATTTTCTATTTAATATTTTTAAAATATATTTATAAAATATTAATTTTAGTATAGGAATATAGAATTATCCTAAAAATATATAATTTCTATATTTAGAAATATTTTAATTTCTCCTAAATTAGTTATATTAAATTTCTAATAAAATTACTTCTTAATTTTATTAATTTGAGTTATACTTTTACTAATAATAATTATATTATTTATATAAATAATAATTAGAAGAAATAACTAATTAATATTATATTTTTGAAATATATATAGAACTAGATTATAAAATAATCTCAGGAAACTAATAATATAAAAAAAACTATTAATTACTTAATTTTAAACCCTAAAAACTTATTTTAATTTATAAATACTTTTTTATAAGTAGTAAATTAGGTTAATATCTTTAATAAAACTAGGAGATTATTTCATATAATATTTCTCTTTTAATTTCCTATAAAGAAAAGCTATTTAGATATTTATTTACTAAATATAGAGCCTATATTTAGCTATTAAGGCTAATATAATATATATAGTAAAAAGCCTAGCTACTAGAATAAAGGTTTTAAAGTAATCTATATTATATTATTAGATATAGCCTTATATTACTAGCCTTAATTTATAATACCTATTAGTCTTAATTTTAAATAATTAATAATACCTAATAGTTTTTTAGTATTTTCTAATTACTAGATCCTATATATAATTATATATATAGGATTATAGCTTCTTTCTAATAAAAGGTTTCCAAAGATAAATATTAGGACTAGTAAAAGCTTTATTAATTAATATTAGAATTTTAAAAGCTTTAGTATTCTAGTTAATAACTAGTAAAATACGAGAATTAGGCTATTTTCCGGTAATTCTAGTTAATTTCGGATATCTAGGAATTAATTTACCTCTAACTAGAACTATTTCGGAAAATATAGGTATTTTCTAAATTATAGAACCTAAATTAGAACTACTTATAAATAGTTCTAGTTCTTGGTTATTATTCCTAAATAGAGGCTCAGGAGCTTTATTTAGACTAGAAATACTCTTAATTTAGTTATATAATATACTTTAAATAATATTTCTTTTAATATTAAAGTAATTTTCTTAACTATTTTCTAATAAAATATTAAGCTATTAATTTCTAGTATTAATAATAATAGTATTTCTATAAATTATATTAGGATTATATATATTATTACTAGAAATATTATTATAATTTTTAGTAATATTAACTAGTTTTCTATATAGCTAGGATACTAGATTTAGGAAATATATTTCTTTAATATATTCTTTAATAATATAATAATTAGAAATAATAAATATTTGCTTATATAAGTTCTAAATATAATATCCGGAACTATTATAGCTAGTAAAAATGCCCCTAAAGGCCTTAGTTATATACTTATATTATAAGGCTATTTTCTTAAATATATAGATATATACTAAGGAACCAAATATTTATAAGTTAGAAATATTTAGTTTAATCTTATAGAATACTTTATATAAAGTTATACTAATTTTAGGCAGGTAGTATTAATTATAGATATAAATTTCATATATAGTTATTTTTTCTCAAAACTCGTATAATAAGCCTAATTATTCTAGCTTTATATACTTTACTTTAATAATTATATATATACTATATTTAGAAATATTATTCTATTTAGAGATATAAGTAATTATTAGTTTTAAATAAATACCCTTTAATTTATACTAGTTCTTAACTTAACCTAATATAAATTCTAAAGTATTATTAAGGTATAAGTACTTGGTTTTATTTCTAGTTTAGGTTTTAGAAAAGATTACTTAATATTAAAGATTTATAAAATAGCTCTTTTTATCCGAATTATATATTACTATATAATATTTAGTACTTTTATAAATAGTAAAAAGTATATAAAAGTTCTTATTAAGGAATAAAACCCTTAATAGCTCCTATAAGTTAATTATAATATATTTTCCTAAAAGTAGTTTTTTAGGATATAGCTTAATTATACTAGCCCTAGTAATCTTACTTATATTATATAAATTATAATTAAATAGGTTTTAGTTCTTAAATTAAAGCCTATTAATATAATTTATTAATTCTAGAATATATTTTATATTTAGATATTTATATTACTAGTACTATATTTCTAGGAAGGCTAAAGCTTCTAATTTTAATACTTTTAGGGTATACCCTAAACTAAATTAGTTAAGCTAATATAACCCTATAAAGAGGCTAAAGGTACTAGTTATAATAGTTATTTCTTTATTAATAATTCGGATATTTTCTTAAGAAAATATAATATTATCTTTAGCTTATATAATTTTGGGAATTAATAATAAGAAGTTATTCCGGAATTAAAGGCTATAAAATATATTACTAAGCTAAATTTTTAGTTCCGGTTTAGTAGCTAAAAGAATAATTTCTTTTCCCTTAATTAGAATTATTAATTTATTACTAAGGATAATTAGAAATGAATTAATCTTTTTATAAATAATAAAGAAGCTTTTATTTTTTATAAAATAATCCGTAATACCCGAATTAATATATTAAATATTTATAAAATTATTAGGTAATTACTTATTAAAAAGGATACTAAATATCGTTTTTCTACTAGTATAAACTTTTAGATATATAGGTGCTTTGGGATTAAAAAATGCCTTCTTACTAGTAAAATTAATATCTTTTTTTTTAAAATTATAGAATTCCTGAGCTAGTTTATAGCTTATATAGTTCTTAATATTATACTTTTTATATTTATAAAATATATAATAGATATTTGGATCCTTAGGATATTTTGGTTTTTTGTTTTTATTTTTAGACTAATTTCCTAATTAATTTCCTTAAATAGCTAGTACTTTTGGAATAGAATTAGAAATAAAATTAGAAGTTTTATTTCTAAGTTTGTCTTTCTTAGTAGAAGTATCTGCTTTAAGTAATTCTAGTTTTAGTTTATTAATATTAGCTCTAATAGAATTTAGGAGAGATTTATAAAGGTTATATTTCTTTAAAAGGCTATAAATTAGATATCCGAATATAGAAATATCTAAAATCGACCCGTTTATATTCTTGATTTTAGCTATTTTATAACTAATATAGTTAATAAAATTATCTATTTCCTTATTAGAATTAAATATAATAGTTTCTAATTATTAAAGGTATAAAGCTTCTTTCTAAGCTTTTAGCTAGTTCGCTTTAGCTTGAATCTGGGTCCAGATCTAGTATATAAGCTTAATTTCTTTGAATTATTACCAGGTATTATAGGTAATAAGTAGATTTAGTACCGTATAAGTAATTACTACTTAACGAGTAGTTATTTTATTATTTTTTTGGGCCGATTTTACGAGAGCAGAAGCTTAATCTGGGTTAATATACTACTATAGATCTTTAATAATAAAGATATTTATAGTATTATCTATTTAGGAGTAGATATTACTATCTGAGAGAGGTTCGATTTTTGTTCCTTTATAGGTAATATATACTGATTTTTTGCTGTCTGGTATAGCGGATTTTTGCGGAGAACTTTTGCCCAAAAATGGCTGTGTTTTTGGTGAATTCTGCTGACGTAAGGCCAATGCAGTGAGTGCAATTTAATAGAATTAACGATTTTAATGAAATCGGAAATGGACAGGTGAATACTAAGTGAGGTCACGTGACCTGAGGATCATGTGACAGCACTTAGTGGGCGCTATCCGGGCTTATAACCTATTGAACTGGGATCGATTTATTAATGGAAAATCGATATATTGGAGATTGACAATCTGTAGAATAACTAGTTTTGACTAGATACAGGAGAGTGATTCCATAAAAAAAACAGAGGGAATGGGTTCCCTAGCTATATTCCTGATTTCCACCCTACCATGTGATTTACCCCGCACTTACTTGGTGGTGGGAACGATTTACCAATCTGATTCCTGAACGTACGTTTAAGGAACGTAATCGAATGGCGATACTAATAAACGATTAGTGTATTCGTACGTAAGTAATACCCAATAATCGGACGAACTGAATTAGTGGTTGAACCTGGAGTGGAAGGAAAGGATGCTAGCCAAGCTAGCTAGTTCAACAATGGGCTCGTGGCAGCAGAGGCAAACTGTGGATTCATGGGCCCAATGTTATGCCCAACGTTATGAAAATCTAACATAGAGATTGCAGCACATGCCAGCACGACGAACCCGCGAGAACCTTGTCTTGGTCACAGAGTTTAATTTTCACTAGGGCTTGTAACGGAGATAGAGAAATCGATTCATGTCAGAGTACGGACTCCAGCCTAGTTAGTGTAAACATACTTGTGTTAAAAAGCTCATCACTCCAGTAAAGTCGGTGCATGATGTATCGAGCACTAGTATAACCACGTGCATGACCTTTGTATAATCAACTCCGAGGTACAGCGGCTTGACTTCTTAGCCGACCGTAGAGTACACATAGAGAAGTCGTCAATTTAATTCATCGTAACTAGATCGGATTATAACACTGCTTCTAAAATAGCAGAAACAAAATGATGTTCCTCACTTTCCTTCTCCTTCCCTTTCACGCTCAAATCTATGTCGCAAGTCAGCGGATCCGATAGATGTCCATAAAACAACACAAAATAAGACAATGGATTAATTAGAGAGGGAGTCGAAAAAAGGAAATGTACCCAAGTTTCTCAATCTTGTGACTAATCCACCACTCCTCCATTTCGCATCAGGAATGCTCGCCCGTACTCTCCCAAACAACTGGGTCTGCATATGCAACTCGTATTCCGTAACCTCCTGCTTACTCACCACAAGCGTGGAGCTGAATACCGTCACGTATTGGGCGAATTCTCGACCTGCTATTCGCACCAGATCCAATACGTGCGCTACCAAGAACGCAACTGCGATATTGACGTCCGATTCCAACTTCATGACGTAGTTAAAATGACAAAAAAGAGCCCCCAGCAAGTTCTGCTGTAGATAATAGATGGCGGCTTTCATTTGACGAGTTAGAAGCCGTGGCGCAACGGTAGAAAGATCGGCGGTCGTTCGATCGGCAGCTTGTAGATAATACAATAAGTTAGAGAGTGATTCGGGGAGCTCGCTGACTGTTGGGACAAGGTTTAGGAGGGTTTCTGTTATAAGAAGCTTCAATGCGGGACGCAATATTTGATGTGATAGTTCCGACAGCTGGGTGTAACAATTAGTTAATATCTATTTAATTCGGCTAACATATAACAGCGGATTTCCGCAGGAAGTGAAGACAAGGAGATGAAGACTTACATCATTTCTAGATCCAGTATACCAAAGAATTAAGGTTTTCAGAACCTGCGAGAGTTGGTGGTCTTTTTGCCGTAGTATCATCAAGGCGACATATTCGGGAAGTCCAAACTCGGAATCGATAATTCCATCAAGCCACACGTCAAGTTCTTCAGCATATGATTCGACTGAGAATAGATTTAGAGCGATTGGCAGTGACTCCTGAATATCTAATTCGGCCTCCCCATCGTGCTTCTGATAACTTCGTAATGCTTTTTTATCTTTGGGAGTAAAGGTGCACACGTCTAGGTTAATTGGTGGGCCAAAGCCAAGATCGAACGCGATAGCATGTTCGCAATTATAAACGAGGTCTTTTGGAGCGTAGAGTTCGGTGGTTAATATCGAGACCGAATATCGAGATAAGTGAGCAACAAGAAAGGCTGGAGGAGTTAGTCGTGGATAGTATTATAAGAAAATGAATCACGCACAAGGGTGAAAGATAGAAACCAGAGTTTCAAGTGAGTAGGATACACCGTCGAGTGAACGGTATATTTTGGATTGTTGTATGGCGGCTGGAAATTGCGTAGTATGTTTATGGTGGTAGTCTTGAGACTGCTTGTCTCGAGATTCAGTATGGGCCGGTGAGCACTGAGAAAGGTCGCAGGGAGAGCTGTCCTGTTCGAAATCAAGTGTTTCTGTAGCAAGCCTATCACTAGACTTGAAGGGCGTAGGCCGCGCTTTGCAACTCCTCAAGCTCGCCCACCGATTCCCTCTCTGGATCTTGTTATATCTCTGGGTGTACTTTCGTATTGACGAATAGTATTCATTATAAACGGGGCCGGGACATGGTGCCAGTGCGGCTTCTTCTAAATTCACCCGTGGAAAATTTTCTCCACATATTATCCATGGTGTCACATCAGCTCCAGTTTGTACATTTAGAGATTCGTTGAGGACTTCGTCGAGAGCCTCGTGGATATCGGCATCATTTTCGTAGTTTGCTTCGCAGAAGAAGGGCTTATCCTGAAATTCCCCTAGTGATCCAATGTAAATGTCAGTATATCCTTCCGTGTAACAAATTTTTGACTTCGATTACTGACTTGGCAATTCCAACCCAAACAGTGATGAGTCTGTGTTCGCTATCCAAGCCTCATGATCGTCATGATGATCTCGGTCAAAGGCAAAGATATCCTCGTCTTGGCTAGCTTCACTGGTGCCAGAACTTCCCGAGACCAACGCAGGTTCTAACTCCATGCTGGGCGAGCTATGCTCATCCGACTCAATTCCATCCACAAATGAGATGAGAGGGTCTGAAGGCGCGATCTGCCGGATGGGTGCGGATGTGGTCGCCGCTGCGAGCCTGCGTGAGGCAAAACGTTCGAGGATCGGATCAGTTCGACCAGGTGCTAGATCCAACACGCTTGTGAAATCAGGGGCTGGGTCGTCTACCAATTCTCGAGAAAGCCTCCAAGTGGTACTTAAGCATACGCTCGTACATTCTGTGACGACGGATGCGGCGTATGCTGCGAGTTGTTGGGCTGAGGAGTCTGACGCGGCTGACGAAATCGTCTTCCTGGTTGGAATGCTCGTCATTATTTCGATGGTCCAATACCAGTCAAACAAATCTGGAATGACTCTACAATGTTTCTCATTTTCGCGCTTGGCCACTGCGAATTCTTGAAGCAGATAGCCCTCATCTGTGGATGCCCTGCTTGTAAATTCCTCGAGCTTTTGCGATAGCCTTCGCGATGTAATTCGGTCTTGCGGTCTTACAACCAGCATCTCTTTTGCGATTAGATCTAACATGTCGTGAATGAAAGCCGAGACACGGCGGTGAGTGTGAAGATCACGGATCCATTCTCGGACTGAAAGACGAACATCCGCTGCGTATTTCCCAGTATCTGAGCGTAAGGCAACAATGAAGAAGCTATCATCGTATACTCCGTCAGGGGTTTTAATGAGTCGACCATCTGCAAAATCTCCCAAGCCTTTCGGGCCTTCCAATAGCCATATAACACACTCCAAAAAAATGCACCCAAGACTCCATATGTCGTACGCCCGAGAGATAGGTCGATCAAGAGCGCATTCAGGTGGCACATATGTTGGACTTCCTCCAACACTTTTAGCTTCGACGTTCGACCTCGAACCCAACCTATGAAATGCCCCTAGGCCTAGGTCGGCGATTTGAAGAATACCCAGGTTATCTGTGGCGCTCTCGGTAGTCTCGAACCAGAGAATATTCTCGGGCTTAAGATCGCCGTGCCGGCCATATCTTTCCTCCTCTCTGGACATCACCATTTTTCGAGTACTCAAGAAATGATCCGGCTGTGAAGTTTTCTGAATAATTCGATTACTCGGCGTAGCAGAACGGAAATTGTGAATGGTACACAGTGCAGATGCGAGGCCGAGCATCTGCTTTAGCCACCAATTTAAATTTTCAAGAGACAATTGAGGCTCTTTTTCTTCCCAGTACTGTCGAAGATTTGAGTTCGCAAAGGGAAACATGAGATGGTATTGCCCTCTAAATTTGTAAGTTGCTAGGAGCTTTATGAGGTGGTTGTGTTTTTTCATGGCCAGGGCTGTGAGAATATTGGCTTCGTGCTTGAAATCGTCATATTGCCTGGAATGGAGTCGTTTGAGAGCGATCGGGAGATTTCCGTTCTGGTACCAGTCAGGTTGATTCAGAATTGATACGAACTGACTTACTGAGTCAAAAAGTTTTTGATGTGCAGGATGGATCACAACTTCCCACACATCGCTGAACCCTCCTGACTTAGCTTCATGCTCTTTGTCTCTAATGAATGGCATCACACAATTGTCATCTAGCTCGTAGTGCTGGGTTCTAGCGTTTGTGAATATCGGAGATAGAAAGTACCATTGAACGCGACGGAAGTCGTCGAGTTCTCGCGAGGACCAGCTTCCAAAGGTTTTGATTGGGGTAATCCATGCCTTTTGCTGCGAAGAGCCTTTCGGAATGTTGATTGGTAGATTTGCATCCGTGATGCCTTCAGTGAGAAATGAAGAAACGAGACTTCCTTTCCCGATGGACACAAGAATAGCAAATATTTTGCGTGCGTGTTTCCGGATTTTGTGTGAGATGAGATAAATATCCCAAGCCGAGAGATTAGTACTTCTATTCAATTCCTCGTGTATAGCCTGCTCTGTTAGTACTCTGTCTAGGGCATCCGCAGGGATGAACCAGTGGGTTCCCCATGGTATCTGACTATCGAGTAATCTTTGCTCGAGGCAGGACACCTTCCTTTCTCAAATCAGCTTAACGACTTTGAGAATTTTCTGGGGTATTGTTATCTTACAACGTTGAGCTTGAAGCATGGGTTGAAATTGCCTTGAAAGAACTGTCGTCAAGATTTGGAATTGTAGAGGCGGTCTCGTCTGACAGCGGAGCTCTTCGGACAGTGGCCGGGGCTTCCCTATGCAGTTCATCAATCTGAAACCCGTCAATAATGATCGTATCATCACGTAGCGTGGTGCATACTGCGCGGTTGTGCGTAACATCTTCCTTCGTCTTGAAAGGTTGAAACTTCCTCCTTATGCTTTGTGTAAAAGTCTTCAGCTTTTCCGTAACATGGCGATGCGTAGTCGTCTGGCAGGCACTTTGTCTATACTCTGACTCACCGATATGCTTGGAAGCAAACTCCAAGGAAAGATTGGCATCTCCTGTACGATTTACCGCCTGCCTCACTGGCAAAATTGCCTGGTTAGTGAAAGGCGGTAGACCTTGGAATGTGTGAAAGTCTGGTGGCTCTGCGGGACGCTGAAGAGGGACTGTGCTTGGAGCCTGAAGATGGCTCGAGGGCGTTTTCAGCGTCCAGTCTTTGTCGTTTCGCGGAGGCGAATGCTGATTTTCCTGGTGTCTTTGAGCATTAATCGAAAGCTGGCCTGGAAAGACAGTAGACTGAGAGGTATATTGGTAGCTCTTCCCCCAAGAATTCTTGTTACCACTTGATGTTCCAGACCTTCTGGAGGACCCATAACCTGAATCACCGGGGGGCTGTTTTGACGCAGCGCCATAACTTTGGAAATTGCCGTTCCCAGCTCCTCCTCCATTGCTCTCATCCTGATCTTCACCAGGCTCCTTACCGTGGCCTCCTTCATCGTCGTGTCCATCGCCATCATCGTCGTCATCGCCGTCACTGCCATTATGAAGCCCCCCCGCGTTGGTCATCCTCCAGTCCTTCATATCTTTCCCGTCGACCTTGAAATGGTCTGCCATGTGGTCAACTCGAGACTCCCAACTCTCAAATTGGAATGTGTTGCAGAAGCCACATTCTCTTGGAAACTGGCTGTCGACTCGAAAATGTGCTCTCGCCAGCTGTTCTCGTGCTGAAATACTGTCATGATGAACCTTGCGAAAATGTTCACGAAAATGATCCTCTCTGAAAAAGACTCTTCCTTTGAAGGTCTTCCAATCGTGGCAGGGGATGTATTGTGGATCGGAGTGGCTCATGTCAGGATTTTGAACTCCACAAGATGAGCATGTTAAGATCCCTTTTACAGAGACCGTTGAGGGCAAATTGCAAACCCACCCTTCCTGAGGATAATTTTTACAGAGCTCGTGTCTTATCCAATCCTCTTTACGGGCAAAAGCACTCCCGCAAGCTCGGGTGCATTGATAGATTTTGCTCCCCCTCCGCGTGAGGCGGCCGCGGTCTGAAGTGGGCTTACATTGTGGTCCCCGGCTCTCTACCCACTGTACAACATCTGCGAACTCTGATGTGCTTGAAGTATCTTCAGGCGTGTGTTTTTGCGGAAGAGAAACGGAAGACGGAAGTTCGGCTTGAAGAGAAGTCCTGGCATTACCAAGCGGCCCAGCCAAGTGATCAGGCTGGCTTCGTACAAGTTTGTTGCAAAGCTGCTCTACGGTTTCGATGGGCACAGTCATTAACGTTGCGAGCGATTCCATTTGGGTCCGATTGAATAATGATGCGTTGGGAAAAGTACATAGCCAGTATCTGATGAAATTAAGGCGGTTCTGCTCAACCAAAAGGCTGCCCGACGAGTCTGGGTGAGGTTGAACCATTGAATGCGTGTTGTTGTGTTCCACATCAGAATTTCCGTACCCTTCTCCGCGCGTCCTTTTCCTTGGTAACGGATCGAACGTTTCAGATTGAGATTGGACTTGCGAAACTAACGGAGTTCTCTGAGGTGCAGCAGCTTGTGGATGCTCGGCTAGGGAACTGTAGGGTAGCACGAGCGACAATCCAGAGGCGATCTGGACAGACTGAGAAGAGTCATGTGACGGGAAATCGGGTAACATCATCTATAGTGGATTTAAGGTTAGCATGGGAAACCAAACAGGCAGGGAAATTGATCTTACCAATTGTTTATCATAAAGAGTTGGAACTGCAGATCCATTCGAGAACCCCGGAGCAATGAACTGGTTGTTGAACCGTTGTTGATTGTTCGCGCTGGTCTCGCTGTGGTATTGACGACGAGGAACTGTTGTCGGTCTTGATGCAAATGGCGGGGCAGTGTTAATGGATGGTTGGTGCACGTTGGTATCTCGTTGTCCCAGTTGTGGGTTTGCTGCTTGAGCCCCACTGCCGTCGTGTCCATGTTGCATTTGAGGGAATGCGAATTGGACCGCTGGATCCTCGAACATGTTTTCGTTCATGGAAAGCATGTTCGGGTCGACGATTGACATGTCAAACTCTGGGAATGCTTCGCCTGTTTGACCCTGTGCTCGATGGTACAGCGGGTTGTCATGATCGTCGGCGGGATCGGGATCGGGACCGGGACCGGGTGCTTGCATACGATAATCCATGTTCGATAGTGAGGAATCAAACACATAAAAAGCAGCAGTTCATGGGGATAAGAGAAAGAATCGAAGCTTGATGGATTGCGACTCCACTTGATGAGAAAATTCGCAATCGCGATGGTATAGGAAGGAAAATAAAAGTGCCACGCGCCCAAAAATAGAAAGAGTTGAGAAAAGCCTTGCCTTCTCCATCGATCCCCTCCCAGACTCTCAGGAAGGGCACTTTGGCTGATTCTGCGATAATCTGCCTCGACTAATACTGCGAAAAACGAGTTGGCATGGGGCAAAAGGCGGGACAGGGATGCTCGCCTTCCCAACGCCTTTTTGAAACTCGAGAAGGGTTCCAATTGCTCAACCGCCCACGTTTACCCCGCCAAAATTTTGCCTATTTTTCAAAATGCTTAGAAAATTCCAAAAACTTCTGGTAATATAAAGAATACTCTAAATAGCCCGGCTACAATCTTACTTTCTTTAAATTGTGGTGTTGTTGTAGCAAAATTGCGGTTTGAGTGGTTGAGCAGTTTGGGCGCTTGGACCGTGAATCCTTCTATACGCATCACGTGATGCAGAGCCAAATGTCGAAAGGGGAGACTGGGAGGAGAGCTTACAAGAGAGTATAAGATATATTTATGAAGAAAGAGTAAGGCGCTTGCTAGGATATCTACCCTCGGTTTTCGTAGAAATTTGGAAGAATGTGGTTACTTTAGCGTTAGGTCCTAAGGCAATAAGGCTGCCCGTTACCTAAAATCGGAGTGCCAGCCTGGCAACTCCATATCTGACAATGCAAAGGCAGCGAAGGCACTCTCACCGCTCCTTGCAAATTCGTACCTGCACCTTATTATCCCTTCTGACGATGCATCAAGCTGAGATCACGCCTCAGACCTCTACGGCCGGCTACCGATCTGCGACTAGCGTAGATGGTACACGGCAGCTTCCTGTGCTGTTTTTGATGCCGAGGCCTGGCGGAAGTGTTAAAGGGGCCGACAATGGTCCTCAGGCACCTCCAAGGGATACAAGTATGTCGCATCCTGTGTTTACCGCCATGTTGCTAGTTTGTCGCTTTGGTCTTGAGTCGAGCTGATTGTCGGGTGCATAGGTTATGGCTACTGAAGTGACGGTGGAAGAGGGAGAAAATTGGGGAAGGGATAGAATGGGATCGGATGGGATCGGGTAGTTTCGTTGGGAGGAGAAGGAGAGAGCTGCAACGCAGGACAGTTATATCAGGCACCAGTACGAGTATGGTATACCGCATCTGTACAATGTTTTCTTGAGCTTCCGGGAGGTGGCGCGTCCTTTTCGTCGCATTTAATGCACCATTTATTAGAGGAGACGCGAAACAAGCGCCAGTGCATATCGAGGAGTATTATTTTTGAAATCTGTATTTCTCTAGTTACGTTAATCGCATGTTACAAGCATTGAAGTACTATCCGAGCCGCGAATGATTTGAATCCTCTTAGATCGACAGATCCCAAGAGTGCCACGACATGACTTATTGTGCTAGTAAGCTTTGCTGGATGATAACCTAAAGTTTTGGCCACAAAGATCAAGGTCGCAAGAGTTAACCCGAGGTAGGCAAATAGACTCTTCCCGGCTCGAGTCATTCGCTAAATCTACCGCGGATCACTTACCTTTACTAACAAATCCCAAACTTTCCAACAGCCATCTAGAATAAGCCTCTCCAACATTGGTTTTTTTCCCCAGCACATCACAATGGATCAATCAACAGACGATCAAGTTATCAGTGCTCTCCCTCGCCAAATCAGCAAGAGCCATGGACACTATAGTCCATGCAATGGGAGGGAGAGGGGAGGCAATAACACCATCTCCACAGCCCAGATCAACACCCAAATCCTTTCTGCTATCAGCCAAAACATCGTACTCATCAAGGTCATCCTCAACAATTGCATCACTTTTAACAGCAAAGTCACGAAACCAGTCATCAAGAACTGCCGCTTGTCCGACTGCGATTCGAGAACACACTCATCCAGAATTCCAAGACAATGCCATGTCAGAATATCACCAGTCCCTTGTCTTTTATTCAATTCCCTGCGGAGATTCGAAGCAAGATATTCTGGGCTGCGCTGAAGGGATGTAGCTGAATGTAGGGTTTAATTCCGAATCTAGTTGTCGCTTCAAAGTGGATCAGATGCTATACCGCAAGGTCGTATATCTGTCGAATTCATAAGTAGGATCTCAATCCCCCTAATTCTGAAGGGAAAATAGGTAGATGCAGTGGAATAGGTCACGTGATCATCAAATATTCGGCTGAAAAGATCTCCTTGAATGAATCCAGTTGGCAAAGAGAGTCTTATTCACTTCCATAGATCGCGCCTCCTTTCTAAACAGAATAAAGTTATACAATTCAGAGGAGAAGGCCAGACCAATCGTGGAACAGGCTAAGTTTAGACTAGCGAGAATAACTAGCGTTGCAGCTGAACAACCTTCACTTCTCATCTCGAACATCTCGACATCGCTGCATATCATCCCATCATGCAAGCTCTGTGCCTGGGCGCCACACAAAGTTCATCAAGAGACTATAATGGCGGAAGCACTTGCTGTTGTGGGCATTGTCTCCTCAATCATCCAGGTCGTGGAATTCTCGACAAAAGTGGCGGAGCGCCTCAATGACTTCGCATCCACGGTCGGAGAAGTCCCAAGGGCATTTCGACATATCCAGACCGAGTTGCCTCTCATAATTGACAGCTTGAGACGGATGAAAAAACAGGCAGAATCTGGAAGCGTCGAGTCAGCAACCACAACTGCCGTATGGCCGGTGCTCAAGGATTGTCAAAGGGAGATCACGCGCCTTCAGAACATTCTTGATAAGACTGTGCCCTCTGTTGGGGATTCATCTTGGGAGCGGCGGAAGAAAGCGTTTTTGAGTCTCGGAAAGGACAAAGAAGTCGAAGAGATTGCAGATTCACTCTCGAGATACGTTCGAGTTCTCACTCTACACCAAGCACTTGAAGGCTCGAAGCCGGACTCACAGGCCCCACCGAAGTACGAACCAGCAAGGCCCCGATATTTCACATTGGTTCCATTTGATCGGAACGCCCACTTCGTCGACAGGGAAGACGTGTTTAAGCAAATTGATGATAGTTTCAGGGTCAGGAAGGGAAGTCAACCAAAAGTGGCTCTATTTGGTCTAGGTGGCATTGGGTGGGCCATTCGATCGATCGAAACCTCAACCAACGCTGACTTTGTTCAGAAAATCGCAAATCGCGCTGGAGTATTGTTTCAGGCGGAAAGAAAAGGATCCGGAATGTTCGGTTTTTTGGGTCCACGCTGCCACCATTGCGCGCTTTGAAGAAACTTACAAAAGAATTGCAACCGAGTGCGGCATCATTGCTCAAGAAGAAGAAGCTCAAGTGGACGCAACCATGCTCGTCCAAAACTGGCTAGAAAACCGTCACGAAGGCCGTTGGCTAATGGTTGTTGACAACATCGATGATACCGAGGTTTTTTTCAAGGAGCCTATGACTAACCAGAAAACTGTGTCACAGTGTATTCCGCGAACATGGAAGGGATCGTTATTGTTTACAACAAGGAGCCGGGATATTGCTATTGATTTGATACTCCCGGCCAAACCCATTCCTGTTCCCGTATTGACCAAGTCTGAAGGAGCAGAGCTCCTTCGCAGCAGGCTTCCAGGTAACCACTCAGAAGAACACATCATTGAATTGCTTGAAGAGCTGGAATACATACCTCTGGCAATTACACAAGCAGCGGCCTTTATGTCTAAGCGTCGAAGAACAATCCCTCAGTATCTCGACTTGTATCGAAAAAGCGATTCAGCGAGAGTTCGGATGTTGTCTTACGAGTTCTCAGACCACGGAAGGCAGTATAATTCCATGGAATCTGTGGCCAAGACATGGACGATCTCATTTGAATCTATTCGAAGAGGCAATCCTAGAGCAGCTGATTTGTTATCTTTGATGTGCTATTTTGACCGACACGCAGTTCCCGCCACCTTGCTCACTGGGGAGGATGAAGACGAGTTGGATTTCGAGGACGCGGTGGCAGTCTTGTGTGCCTTCTCCTTGATCGAGTCCGATGAAGCCGGAACCAGCTTTGATATGCACAATCTCGTACAGCTAGCTACAAAGCTATGGTTGATTGACGAAAATAAAGGAGAAGAAGACAAATGGGCGTTTGAGGCCCTGAAATCACTTGCTCGCAACTTCCCAGCCCCACTTCACCACACTACGCCGGAATACTGGCAGCTTGGCAGAGATTTTCTGCCACATGCACAGCTCATTCTAGCACATCCTTTCAAAACTCAACGAGACCAGATTGAACTCGCACGGGCTACTCTACTGTTTTCGGTTTCACGTTACTTGCACTGGCGTGGTGCAGTCATGGACGCTAAAGTCAAGAACGAAGAGTCGTTAAAAATTCGGGAGAGGATACTCGGGGAAAAGCATCTAGATACGTTGCGAAGTATGAGCCAATTAGCATGGATGTATCCGTGGATTAGCATGGAGCAGGAAGGAGTGGACTTGGGCCAGCGCTGCCTCGAATTACGCCGGGAAGTGCTTGGGCCTGAGCACCCCGAGACACTTGATGGCCTCAGTGATCTTGCAATGGCCTACCAAATGCAAGGCAGATTGCTGGTATCCGAAGAAATGCAGCGACAAGCTTACGAAGCTAGTCAGCGTGTCAATGGACCTGAACACCTCGATACTTTGAACTGCTTGAGCCACCTCGCATCCGTCTTAGATGACCTGGGGAGATATAAAGAGGCGGAAGCAGAGTTGAGGAAAGTAATCCGAATCAAGTCTCGAGTGCTTGGAGAAGAAAACTCGTCCATATTATCCGAGATGCATAATCTTGCATTTACACTCGAACATCAGGGTCGGCACAAAGAGTCTGAGGAAGTATACCGGCAGGTCTTGGCACTGAAGACTAAAATTTATGGGAAGACGCACGTGGAGACTGTTACTACACTTGTGAACCTGGTTTTGCTGCTTCAAGATCAAAAGAAGTACTTCGATATCCAGGAACTCTCTGGTTGGTTTTCGGGGGAGGCGGAGCTCGTACAGGAAAATGAGAATCCAAGATTGAGACAGGCGATGCGAACGTTGAGGAGGTTTTCATTTCGCCCGCCAGGCGACGTGGCAAGCGAAAGCTCTGATTCTGGATACAGCGATGACGAGGGTGGAGAGGAATTGGCTGCGGTTGCCGAGGAGAAGGAGGACTTGAAAAGAGGGGAAAACCCGAACAAGATCTTGGAGGTGGCTTAATATGATGCGACGATTTCACATCGATGCCGGAGCAATGTAACAATTTTGAACGCCATGATGCTATCTATACCCGTCATCAGGATTTCTAATACACCCATCGACAGATTACTATCTCAGTTTTGGATGGGGTAAGTAGAAAAAGGGCCACAAGGTGGTCTGCGTCTGGAATGTATGGAGATAACGTTTTGAAGGCAGAGGACGACAGCTTCGTCACTTGGTCTCCCTCAGCAGCAGCCCCCATAAATGTTTGCTTCAGCATCGGATTCGCCTACCAGCCCTTTCGAACTGTTCAAGCATGCCCAAAACTTTATCAGGAAAGCAAAGCTTTGGCAGGCCTTCTCCAACTTCCAGTCGTTGTGACATCGCCAAGACAGAGGGAGCTTGTTTCAATCCAATACATAACTACAGGGTTTTTCTATCCCGGTTTTGACAGTATCGTTCCTTCTCGGTCCCGGGACATTACATGAACTTCATTTCCGAAGCCGGCATTATGGTTACACCGATATGCGAGTTCGAAGGTGAGCCCCTTCACGAAGCCGAATGCCTGGGACGTTAAATACCAAGTCCTTGTCGATGGCATTGATGAAACCTCTTCGTTCTCATTCGTAACTGAGCTTTTCTCACGCCAAGTTTGTCAGCCTATAATTTCAAATGACCAGAGTCCTTCGTACAGGTGGCAATGGCTTCGTTGCTGCCCACATCTTCGAACAGCTGTCCCCCACCGGAATGTTCAGTTTGCTCTTCCCAATCAGTAGCCTCATGTGAGCAGCGACGCCTGCGTTCAGGCTTTTTTATACATTCGTGTTTACTAGAAACCATTGACTTGTGACGAAGAGTCCAAAAACGCAAAACTCTCCTCGTCCCCTAGCTAGGGATCCCATATATATACACCCCCCTCCGCCCCCCATACTTACTTCTCCACCTTAAGGTTTCAATAGGGATGTTATTTTCGCCCCTGTGCGTTTGACCTCATTCCCATTTTAATTGGACAAGCGAGACTTTTTTTCAGTGCGCCTCGCCTCGCTCGCATACGCCGTAGAAAGAAGAAAGGGTTCACCAACCAAACGCCACACCACGCGGCCGCTCAAACCTGAATTGTGAAAAACTAAGGTTGGAATCGGACTCTTCCTGGGAGTGAACTCGCATTCTCCATGTTCTGAGAAGCTTTGAGGATTTTTTAAGCACATTGAAAACAATCCATAAATTTTTAGTGTTCCGACAGGGGAAGGTGGGCGGTCGAGTGGTTTGGGCGTTTGGCTGTTGTGAACCCTCCCGTGCCCTCCTAATCGTGCGTCAGGACTTGCACTAAAGCCCCTGCGTCCCTGCGGGTTTAGTTGCGTATCACTAATATGGTCGAAAATCAGTAATATGGTCGTTTTTTTGGAACACTAACTTTTAGAATTTTAATGCAAATCGCAGAAAAATATTTTACAGTTTATATGGCGTTCATACTATAATTAATAAATCAAATTCTCTTACTTTCATATCGCATATGCATATAGTAAAAAATGGTGGAAATATTACATACTTCAGGTCATCGGCGACCCCCCCAAAATGCCACTAACTTAGAAATCAATTAATTACATAACAACCACGTCCTATTTCGTGTATCCAATAATTGTCTCCTCCCCATTAGCATCCAATCTAACTATATTACCAAAACCATTATCATAAAATGAAGGGGGGTTGGGTGGTGGCCTCACAAAACCAAGCTCTCTAGCTAGCATTTCCACCCGCATATCACCAAACTCACCAACCCACTCCTCTTCGTATCCAGGGGAAGCTAGCCTAAAATCCATCTTATTCGCATGAAAAAGCTCTGTCTTATGATCAATTTGCCTCTGTTCCTCCCATTTTGCCGTCAATTTTTGGTAGTGAGCCTTGAGACCAGTATCACCATAATCGACAAATGGTGGTTCATCTCTATAGCCAAAGGGCTCCCCTAAATCGTACGGAGCTGTTTCCCCACGAGCACGTCTCCGGCGTGGAAGCTTACCAGTAATATGCTTCGTAATATATGCATTAGTTTCCCTAATTCGTCGATTTAGGTAGGCGTTATTGTCCATCTCTTTAGCGGTAAAAAGGGACTCTCTGCGATGTGCGATTTGACGAACTGCCGAACCCTTGGAAATGACCCCATGTTTTTGCACATGCTTCCTGCCCTCATCTAGCTTATTTCGTTATTCCTGGAGTACTGCCTTCTCTCTTGCAAGCTCTCTTTCCATAATTAAGCTTGCCCTAAGTAACTTAGGCTCAGCTACTTGTTAGTATGCCCTCCAAGATCTCCAAAAACTCGGTATGAGAGCGTACTCCTCCTCGTCCCTTCCAAGGATAAAATAGTCGTCTAAACGTTGACATATATAGGTATTGTGTGCCGCACGATTCGCAGATATAGGGGGGTTTTGGAAGGGTTTCGATATTAGAGGGGTTCGTAGAGGTGAAATCTCGGTTTGCTTGTCTACTGCAAAATTAGCCTATATTACCATATAAATCTGTAGCTAATTAACAAACCTTCTTTTGGTACGAATTGAGCTAGCTTGTCATATGCATACCGTATCGTTTCTCGCCCTAAAAGGCCCGCTTTACTAAAGGTACTAAGAATCGTCCTGCGCTTGAACGTCCTTCCCCGTATCGACTAGTATGCCGCTAGAAAATCAAGCTTGGTATAAACGATATTACCATACTGGATTTTATCGTAAATACTGACTTGATGCCAGTGCTTAAGGGGTTAAAAGAGGCCAATATCGAGTGGTTGGAGGAGGTGTGTACTATGTGGTGGCAGTTAAAAAGGGACAATCTTGTGGGACCAGCAATAATATAAGAACTCGTCTGAAGTATAGGAGCCATGACCGTCAAAAATCAACATCCTCCACTTGCCCTGTATTCGTTGATATGTCTGATTATGGAAGTGCTTGATATATTTGAGGCTTAAAGCATCGTTTATATATCTAGTGGAGCTCGTGGCGAAGACTGTTTCGGTATCAAGGTCGTTATTAAAGTGTTCTTCTAATAGGATCTCCCCCTTCAAAATCAGGAATGGTGTAATTGCTTCGCCCCCAGCAGATATAGTTTCGATCGCAGTAAGTGATTCTCGATTATCGGGATCTGCCAAGTAGACAGCTTTCGTATTAAGGTGTGTAATAACGATCTTTCCATTCAAAACGCCGATGCGAAAGCCAGTTTCGTCCATATTCCACACGTCTTCAAAGCAGATCCCAAACTTCTCTAACGCCCCATAATACTCATTAAAATGCTCTTCCAGATTCTCCTTTCGATTTGCCGCCTTCCGCTCTTGTGCTAGTGTCTTCGCACGAAGGGTTTTAAACCATGCTTTGTTCCGTTTGAACCATCGTTGAGCCCATATACGCGTAACTTGGTGGGTGGACGCGCTCTTAGCTAGAATCTTGTTTGCCGCCGCCCGAACCGTTTTGAGATCAGCTTTATGGCCTAAATAGATCAGGAAATCGATAAACTGCTTGACGCCCTCCTCCTGATCAGGATTAAGTGCTTTGTTGTAGGCCCCTTTGGTGTTCTGTGATTTTCGTCCTGCCAAACGCGCTTTCCAGAGTCGATATTTTACCCTGAATTGACGCGCAATCGCAGATTTTTTGACGTGTGGGTTTCTGGCATAGAAATCGGAGGCCTGGGCCATCCTTTTCTCTTCTTCAGGGTCATATTTGGTCATGGTGTTGATATTTAATTAATTAAAATCAATAAATGGGAGAAAAAAGCGACCATATTACTGATTTTCGACCATATTACTGTACCGCACTAAACCTGCAGGGTAGCTGGTTTAGTGCGAGCGACGCCGCACGATTAGTGCCCCCCACCCCCAAAAAAAAAAAGGTAGGGGGGACGCCAAAAAGAAAAAGGAAAACCCCTCCAAAAAAATTGTGTTCTTAGCTGAGGTGTACCTCAACTCGCAGATAATGCGGCTTCTGTGGATCGAACACAGTGCCTCCAGATTTCATGATCTGAAGTGGACTTCAGTCTGGCGCTCTCCCAACTAATTTATTGTTAGTTGTTGAAACCCGATGGTTTGTTGCGTGCTGACTTACGTGAGCTAAAGCCGCGCTTGTTGTTGGTGAATTGGCCTTATTCTAGCCTATGTTACCCAATGATATTTGCTACCTAGGGTTCGTCTGCACTCTCACGTGACCAGAACACAAAACTCGAATCTTCATACACTTCGATAACCACGAAACATAGATATAAATTTATCGTTAGACTTGAAGATATAATAAGGCCTTTATACAAGCATGGGAAATAATTCTACCATCAATTATAACTAGTGGCTCCTAAGCTTTTCATTAATTAGGAGCAGTGGTAGTAATTGAGAGCAATGTGGCCAGAGTTTGATCCTGAGGCTCTAAGGCACTTCACGTGGTCGTTTGCACGTGCTATAGCGGCTCGACCACTTAGGGCTCGGGAAGAACTAAACAAATAGGCCAAAGCCCGTAGAAGTGAATTGCCTAATGAATAATATCTGAAGCCAAAGATAAGAAGGGGAGAGAGAGCGCCCAGCGGGCTTATGTACAAAAGGAACAGATCACGTGCCATAGTCGCTCAGCCGTCAGACTTTCACTGGACTAGTGCCGTAACACGTGCTTTAAGGATGTTGCTCTATGATTATATACCAAACGGGCTAGGCAATCTTATATTATAAGTCCAATCTGCATTTAACTCACTCATTTATTATCCTCTCACCCAACTTTCTAGGCTAAAGATCAACGCCACAGCTGCATTTAACGCTGCCTTCCGTCATAGGAGATTTTTCTTGTGGAACTTGCCAGAGAAGGTAGCACACTTAGGTGTATATTCTGGATGGCAGCCTTAGTAATATCCTTAGGATGGTTGTACCATAGTGCCCTTTCTTCTTAACCGCTTTTCCAGAACATTTGAAATACAACAAGCAAATCGCTGATCTCTGAGCTTTGTTAATCCAAAAGCATAGATTGAATACCCAATTTGCCATAGCATGTCTTACAAGACTGGCCGTCAGCAATTCCCTCATGAATCCTCTCATCCAATTGCCAGCCAAAAGCAGCATTTGCGATAGATGATTTGGACGAGGCACTCTCTCATTCCGCGAAAGGATATACAGGTATGGAAATACCCAGGCTACAGTGCGTTGTGTACTAGAAGCCACGGTAAGCATGTATTCTGACATAAATACGGCAAGAAAAGCCTTCGCGCAACGCCGCCTGGGACTTCATGGATAGAGAGAGCCCAAACTTTTTTCCCTCCTCCATCGACCGTACCTTGGCCTTCGGGCTAGTAGTTGGTCAATAGCAAACGCACAAATCTAATGGTCGCTAATTTCACGGGTGCCTGAACTTCAATCTCTCGGAAGCTTAAACACTTCAATCAAGCTCACCGAGCTTGATCACCGCAGGAATTACCAAGGCAAAGGCAAAGGAAAGCATTCCAGACATGGGGTAAGCACACGAACTTACGAGTTATCGTTAATTCTTGACTTCAGGCACTAATTCAGAGGATATTCTTGGGTCGATATTCGTGATGTTGCCCAAGTCTACGTTGCAGCCGTAGAGTTGCCGGTAGCGGAAAGCAAGATATTCCTTTTAATAAGGGCTCTCTCAACATATGATTGTGGATCTAATCCGCAAGCATTTTCCCGAGTATCATTCAGCCGTGCCCTCCGATTCGGTGGAGGGGGGCGATTTTCCCGCCGGCGGCACGTTCAAGATTGACAATATTTGCAGCGTTGAGGTACTGGGCATCAAGTACAGGAATTGGAGGATACTGTAGTGGATACAGTCAATTTACTCAAGCTCACACGGGCATAAAGCATGCTGAATATGGACCAGAAAGAAAGGCCACGTGAACCATTTCAATACCTCAATTAAATCGCAAAATACGACACTAGTAACATCCGATGAGAGACTATAAGAACGATTCTCCATTATTACGTTCGTGCTTGAGAAGAGAGGGGAATGTGCCTGGCTTGATTGACAAAATGCCTGCCTAGCTTCGTTTCCGTTCGAATACTCTTACTTACGCTTCACCAAGACCAACAATCTTTCAACAACAACAACGAAGGGAAGAGTCTAAGCATTAAATTTTGAGAAGTGGGATATTTCTTTATCTTGAATTCTCCGGAAAGTTCGCCGATCCCAACAACCCTGCACCAAGTAAGCCCGATCCAAAAGTGGGGTCCAAATCTACATGGTCATCCAACAGGTTACATCTTCTCGATCGAGCGAATCGAGATGTAACGTAAGATTGTATATTCCTGTATATATTTTGGTACCCGCGTGTGGATGCTATTTCTAAAAACGCCCTTCAAAACTTCCCTTCCTTTACTTGATTATCTGGTACACTTTCTTCTGCTCCTCCACTACAACATAATGCCTCGACCGTGTTCCTTGCTATCGTTCCTACTGAAGGTATATTTCGGACTACAATATTTTATCATTGGTATTCCCGCTAAAGATGTGGCGCAACATGTCAACCCGTTTATCGGGACTGAGGGACAAGGAAACCCTGGAACAGCTATTGGTGGCGGAAATGTGTTTCCGGGTGCTGCACTCCCATTCGGGGTAGTAAAATTTGGCATTGACACTACAGCTTTCGATTGGACAAACGTTGATGCGAATGCTGGATATACTCCCGATGGTTATGGTAGGAATTTCATTCTCCATAATTGGCTGATTTTTACTCACTGCTGAAGTCACGGGAGTGAGCCTGCTTCATGAAAGTGGAACCGGAGGAGCACCGACATATGGCTTCGTTCACCAAATGGCACTTTCAACATTGAAGAACGTCAATGTCCTTGATAACCTCACGTACATGCAAGAACGTGTTGAACCAGATGTAGCAAGTGTTGGATACTTCAAAACCTCACTTGCAAACGGGGTTATTGCCGAACTCTCAGCAACCGCACATACAGGAATCATTCAGTACAACTTCACAAGTGGAGACGAAAGACACATTTTAGTGGACGTCTCGCATATGCTTCCCTCATCGGGCGAGGCACAACATTCACAGTTCTACAGCAGTGGGTTTATGGCACGAAGTCCAGATGGGACAAGGTATCAAGGTTATGGTGTATATAGAGGTGGATTCAGTTCACGTGAGTTTATTTTTAATCTCAGCCTCTTAATCGAGTCCAGCCCTGACAAAGTGGAATGTAGGACCTGATGCATCAGTCTACTTCTGCGCCGAATTCAACACCGCTCCACTCACTGTTCAACTTTTCTCCGGTGAACACACGGACCCATACTGGCCAAACAGCACGCTTCCCTCCTTCAAACCACCAGTCTTCACAAATGCATCTTCGATTTCTGGAGGCCAAGCATATTGCGGTTACGGTCGGCGAGTAGGAGGCCTATTCACCTTCTCCCCAAACGCCACGGCCGTGAAATCCAAACTTGGCGTCTCCTTCGTAGACTCAGATAAAGCATGCCAATACATCGCCTCCGAACTCCCCACCTGGGACCTAGAGCCCATTGTAATTTCTGCTATCTCCCAATGGAACACGGGAGTTCTTTCGAAGGTGACCACAACCGACAAATCTAACGCAACTTTAATTGAAATGTTGTACTCGGGTTTGTACAAAATGCATCCTATGCCCTCTGATCGCACAGGAGAGAACCCGAATTGGGAAACCGATGAACCTACTTATGATGACTTCTACACCCTTTGGGATACATTTAGGTGTTTGAACAGCTACTTGGTGTTGACGGCCCCGATAAGAGCAGCTGGCATTGTGCGGGGATTGGTGGATGTGTGGAGGTGGGAGAGGTTTATGCCGGATGCGAGGAGTGGGAATTACAACGGAAGAGTGTAAGTCACAGGCCGCCATGAATAACATTCTTCATTACTGATTATGCCCACACAGGGAGGTTCCAATGCCGATAATGTCCTTGCTGATGCTTATGTCAAAGGTTTGTTCGCTCCTGAGTACGGCATCAACTGGACAGACGCCTATGCAGCAATGAAGACAAACGCCGAGCTAGTCCCATATAATACCTTCGATTATGGAGATCCAACTGGGAGTGTGAAAGAAGGTCGTGGTGCTTTGCCTGACTGGTTGAATCTTGGCTACGTCTCAATGTATGATCCTGTAGCCGGAACCGGATTCGGTCGATGCATTTCGAGAACCGTAGAGTATAGCTTGAATGATTTCGCTCTCAGTCAAGTTGCGAAAGATCTATCTCCAGGCGATCATGTCAAGTATTTGAATCGTTCTGCGTAAGTACTTTAATGTCCTTGATCAAAGAGAGTTCGTGCTAACATGAGGATTAAGCGGGTGGCAAAAAATCTGGCAACACAATCTCACCTCCCTCAACTTCACTGGCTTCCTCGCCCCACTCTATGCAAACGGAACCCGAGACTCCTCGTACTCCCCTCTCAATTGCGGCGTTTGGTGTTCCTGGTCCGACGTAACCTACGAAGGCTTGCCCTGGGAATACTCCTGGACAATCCCCTACGACATGTCGACTTTGATCTCGTACATGGGTGGGCCAAGCACCACCGAATCTCGGCTGGATGCCATGTTTACCCCAGGTTTGCAAGACGGCAGCGTTGGTTCTGGGAATGGCATCGGCTCAGCAATCTTCAATCCAGGCAATGAACCAAGTTTCGGAACACCATTTTTATATAATTATTTACCTGGACGACAATGGAAAAGTGTGATGAGGAGTCGAGAGATTGTCAATCAATATTATTCAAATGGCAGGGACGGGGTGCCGGGGAATAGTGATGCCGGGGCGTTGGAAAGTTGGATGGTGTGGAATTTACTCGGTGAGTTTTCCACTTCTGGTTTGGAGTTGTAGTTCTGAACTAATTAAAAGGTCTCTATCCTGTTGTTACGCAACCTATTTATTTGATCCTCTCGCCTTGGTTCAGTGACGTCACGATTTCGGTGGCAGGAAACAAGACATTGAAAATCACAACTGAAGGTCTTGGGAAAGGACCATACATTCAAAATCTTACCGTGAATGGAGAAGTTTGGAACAAGAGTTGGCTCACACATGATGACTTGGTTAGTGGCGTTGGCGGAAGTATTCATTTTGTTCTAGGAAGTAAACAGACAGAGTGGGACCTTGGAGAATTGCCTCCTAGTCCAGGGCATGTGGATTTGGGGATCAAAAACTAGCCTATTCTTCTCATTTACCTGGATTCGAGTCCAACGATACCTCATTAGCGCCATCCAAAATGTCATAAATATTCCCCTGAAAATAGCTGAATATTCCGTCCGCCTTCGTATCCCGTTTCAGCAGCAAGCTCTTGACATCGTTCTCGAAATCCCTCTGCCCAAATCCGGCCACCAGAAACAATTGTCAACCATATGGCTAAACTTAGGAAGGTACCGGAGCGAACGATTTGGCGGCACTATTTTCTAATGCCCTAAGCTAAGTTGGATATTGGATATTCATCCTCTCTAAATCTAAACCTGGGTTTCTGTACATTTAGAGACTATTCCCTTGAAATGCCTCCAGTAACTGCGGTATATTAAAAGCCCACCCCTGGGGTACGCAACGTCGGATGGAAATATCTAATATCAGCGCCGTTCTTTTGCTCTTCGCCGGTTGGGTTGCAGAGATGGCTCATTTTGCCAGCGTGGGGCGCCTTGCTGAGTGGAAGCTCTCTCTACCACCTGCGCAACTTTTCTGGCCCAATGGACCACATTGAATCTTCAGCCAAACATCAATAGAGGCATCAAGAGCTGAGGAAGAAAATCTGATTCGTAAGCCTATCTAATTCATTGCACTATTCACTGTTTCCGCAGCTATTTCTTCCGTAATGGGACACAATAGGGAATGGGACCTCTTGAAGGAACTGGAGTGCACTTGGAGGCAATAAGGCTACTAGAGGGGCATACAAGCTGGATGAGCAGAGCGGACACCAAGTTACATGAGAGTTCACGAAGTGGTAGACCATGGGACGGGATGAGTGGTATCAAGGAAAGAGAGTGCGATCGAACCTGGACGCCACATAGACTGGGAATAGTGCATCTAGAGAGAGGTCTACTCTGGGAGAGCAGCGCAATTGCAGAAAGACAGACACATTCGCTGATATTACGGTGCTGAACACTACACAATAGAGGTGCAGGCGATAAGCATAAATCCTCGATTCTTTCTAGCTCAAATGAACGGACTGCATACACTCTGAAGCCAGCCTCAGTAGATGCTCCAGGAAGGCGAGGAAGAACAATTAGTACACCTGAATGAACCAGCGCTGTGTTATTCCCGTTCTCCGTACCAAGCGCCACCGGTATTGAAAAGCAACGACTCCCCAGTTGTCGCAGCCGCCTCGGGAAAAGCGATGTGTAGGAGTTAAAGTGAAGCATGTGGGAGCACAATTAAGTGATTAATAGTCGGACTTGACGTCGCGCTAAAGGGGCCTTTCCCTTTAGTCGGGGAAAGCAAGTTGTCCCCGGAAAGCAAGATGTCCCGCACCAGCCTTTTTTGCCTTCTAAAAAACAATACTAGGAACTAGCTATAGAAAATCTAATTAATATATTTTATTTATAATCTTATAGTTACCTATTATATAATTAAGGAATAAAATTTTAAGTAAAAAAATAAAAATTTATAATTAAGCAAAAGTTATAGATATAATACTCGCAAAATGGTTACGAATAAATAATTCTTATAATTTTTATATTTCTTATAATTTTATTATTAAAACCTTAATAACTCTCTACCTATATCTTTTTTTAAGATTTAGAGAATCGTATCTAATTTATAAGGCTTATATTTTTAATTTTATTACTTAGAATTATTTTAAAAGGTTAAGGTTTCAAGTTATTAAGGATTTTATTTGGTGCGGGACATCTTGCTTTCCCGGGACAACTTGCTTTCCCCGACTAAAGGGAAGGGCCCCTTTAGCGCGACGTCAAGTCCGACTATTAGCTATCCGGGGAAATTAGGTGGCGGTGAGCGATATCGGCACGGAGTAATTAAGCCCGAGTGCAGGTGGTGCACAACCCTAATTGGCTGGTCTAATGCGCCACGTGATGAAGTGAAATTCGTCGGGCCGAGTTACTCCGGTTGGGCCATAAGTACCTTACAAAATTGTCCCCAGAATAGGTGTACCCGATGGATTGCGAGGTGACACGAAAGTCAGTCTGGATTGTCGAGGTGCGAGGTGCGTGGCTACTGTAAGTGTAAGAGGCCAATGAGTCGCTCCATTCGTCCACCTAATATGAACGATGGCCTGGAGGAGTCCCACATGTACTCTCACCCTTTCATGGTTCGTAAGCCAAGGCAGAGCCTCGCTATTACGATGTGCCTTTGTACCTTCCGTTGGTAATACTCTTCTAAGCTCATCCTTCGAACCACATAGTGTGGGCTCCTGCCACGATGCTTCTCTAATGCCTGGGAAACTGGACGCCTCGTCATTTCGTGTGGCCCCCAGAGTCTTGGATTGCTCTGGACACTGCAGCAATATTGGCCCAGTGGCTTGGCGGCAATTTCCGGAGAAGGAAGTGGTGTGCTGCGGCTTGAATCGCAATGCAGGGTTGCTATTGAGGCCCAACGTGAGGCTGAACTATCCTGCCGATAAAGCTGAACAGCTTCTCGTCATATCTCTCTCACATATCTCTCCCAGTGCTTGACCCTCGTATTGTCTCAATTATAGTTCAAGTCTTAGCCTGAACTCTTGTTACTCTGTTCTTGCCTTAGCAAGCGCAAGTTCGCAGCGCTCTTCCTATCCAATGGCTAGCCAAGAGAGCATCCACCTCCAAGATCTTTCAACTGCTTCTGCGAACCCCAACGCTCCAGCCATCGCAGGTCATGAGGCCAACAATTCGTCTTCAAAGCCCGTAGTTACTCCTACTGCAGCTGTGGCGCCGAGAAGATCTTCCGAGAGGGAGGGGCATCACGATATGCTTGAAAAACTTCTCCGGTCAAAGTTAAACAGCGACATCCACGGGGTGGAGAGACAGAAATTGAGGAATTTTCTCTTTCACTACAGCTCACTTAAAGGCAAGCCAGGTGATGAAATATTTAAAGAAATGGTTCAGTACATGAGGTACAAAGACCCAACGGAGGGTTCGAGCTGGGCCGAATCATCCCCCAAACTCAGCTCTTGCTCCACAACTTTCTCCGAATGCCTCGAGATTTTACGGGAGGAGCTACGTTCAGGACGAACGGAGTCTTTCCAGTTTTGGTGAGCTCTATCTTATTGTGGTTGCTCTGCATGAAAATACTAGGCCTGTCACTGACGTGATATTAATTCGAAGTATACTCTCCGCCAAGCTCCCGGAAGCCACCCGATCTGAGAAATATTCTTTCTCAGATAAATGGCCTTTGGCCAGGAACAGTCGGCTAAATCGAATGTATAATGCGCCAAGAGATGCAATATTTCATGTGATACATGAGGAATGGGAGTGTCACCAAATTTGGATAGATGCGGAAGCACCGAAACCATTTTGGCCGAATAGAAAGATAACACTGCCATCTAAAGGTTTATATCCCGACAAATTGTGCTAATAGAAACTAATGGCTTCCAGACACCACTTGGAAGACGCCGCCGGTTAAGGATCCAGAGTCTCTAATATTCAAATGGCAGCGGGTATTACCAAAGTACCACAACGACCTGTACGAATACATATGGCAGCGGCAAGTGGAGCCCCCGGGGTATCAAAGTGCTAAGGTTTCAGTCCATAGGATCTCGGAGAAGCCTAAGAACGTGTTGATTATCTTCGATTCCACCGTCGTCTCTGAGCCGAGAGACGAACCTAGCAGTATCCTCAAGATGTACAAGGACATTCTTGACAGGCCATTGCCACATGACACCGGATGCCCACACAGTATTGAGACACAATTTGTCAGATCGTTATATTGTATTTTCCGCCTTATGATCGAATGCACAAAGGAGTTCCTGACCGACCTTCATAAACAACTTTCGGATTTTGTAAGATGACTCTATTACCACGTCGAAGCATCCTCTGCTAACAACCCGATTTTAGACATCGTTGGGGAGAAGTGATCCATCAGCCAGCAAACTCCACTACTTGACTCATTTGGAAGATTGCAGGCAACAATCTTGCTTAGAATTAGCAGATACTTTATCACTGCTATCGGAATTATGGCAGACGCACGTTGAAAACAATGCGCGAGTGGACTCGGGAATGAAACCTTGGAAGGAGGAAATTGAAAAGGATCTCACGTACCTGGGAGAAGAAATGAAAGGAGTGAAGGGCAAAATTGAAGGCGTTCGGGTTATGGTATGCAGTCAAGACACTTCGTACCCCGTCAGGAGTTACAAGCTCATAAAATCCCAGGTGAAAGATAAACTTAAGCTTCGCCAGATTAGTCGCACTTTCATCCTAACTTTCGTGGCTGCTGTCTATTTACCCTTCTCTTTCATGACAGTAAGTACATCTTCAGTTACTCAAATATCAATTGCTCATCGCCAATCAGTCTCTTTTCGCCATGAACGTCTCAGACCCTCTCTGGCCGTCATCCAACTCGAAAGCTTCTAATGGTACTGCCTATACGACCGTCGACGGCACAAACAGTACAAGTGATGTGTTCGCAGTTTCGCAAAACGAAACAGATGCTATCGTAGGTGCAATATACGACACTGCCTCTCACCTCTGGACTTTCAAAGAGTACTGGTACGTCACGGCTTCCGTGACCTTCGCCACCATATTTCTTCCCATGATTATCGGGCCAATCTTTCGCATATTATCACAATTTCTGTCCCGCCATATGGCTTAGTGGCGTGCAGCCATACTAATTCTAGGATTCAACGTGATATATTTTATGAGTTTGTACCTCCCCAGGTTGCCCTTTCTAATTATATTCGGCGTTTTCCTCGGGCTCTTGGCGGCATCCCTTCTGATGGAAGCGCTAATATTGAAACGAAGGCGCATATTGTGGGCATCCTTTGCGCTGCTTTATGTCGCTACTCTAGCGTCGTCTATATATTTCCTTTCTATTTCTAGACTATCCCTAGGACTAGTTTGTCCGCTCTTCGTATTTTGCGTCTGGGTGGATTTTTACAAAGAGGCTAAGACGCGATTATACGTCATTTTTGGTTTCTTTGGGGGGAAAGGAACATCATCGCCTGAAACGGATTTAGAGGCTGCTCAAGGAGTTGCAGTGGCTGCACAAGGAAACGGAGAGGATGGAATAGAAGAAGCCGCCGGGGGCGTTCCTAGAACGTCTGGGCCCGATGGCCGAACACCAGCCGGCTAGGGGGTCTAGGGGCATTTCTGCTGAAAGAGCTCCTAATAGACAAACTCCTCGACGAGCAATAAGCTTGCCAAGTTTACGAAATAGGTTTTAATTGAGCTATAATTTAATTCGAAGATATTTCTTAATTAATCTAATAGTCCTTTTAAATAGTACAGTTTAAAGATAAAAATACCTCAGAAAACAGAGGTTTAAACCTCAAGTTTCCGGGGTATTTGCGTCCCGATTGATAGACAAAGATGCATATTGCATCGATCCAGAGGTCGATGCGACTAATATCAGGCCTAAATGGCGAAGGTCGAATGCGCCTAAGTGCTGCCGCAAGATTAGTCGTAAGTTGGAATTCGACACCGTTCAAAGATATGGGAACGGTAACGTTTGGATCGGCCCAGACATAGGAAAGCGCCAGCATTTTTGGAATGCGACCCAGTGTTTCCTTTCGAAGCGTGCAGACAATGGATGCGGAGAACTTCGCAGGCGCGTGGATTCGGATGACTGATCTCGTTTGTGGCCAAAGGTTGATATACCAGAGTTACCATTACTACTAGACAAAGAAAAATAAAGCACGAGAACGAGAAAAACGACCTACAACAAAGGGCTATGCAGAGACATGAATGGCTCCGCGACGCGCCCCCCTTGCGCGGTTGCCGCCGAGGCTGAAACCTACTAGCACTGTCGTCCCCAACGCTACACGGCGTAAAAATGATCAATATTTCACTTAAAATTCTCTCTGTCTCGAGTCTTGGCCACCGTCCTTCAAGAAGAATAGGATGGATCCCTCGCAATTGCTCAAAGTATTACAATGACTCGATGTGATATACTTTGCGGCCGTCGAAAGTCTTGGGAAACGTCTCCCCACTTAAGGTTAACCATAAGCGAGATACAAGTTCGACGAGCCTAGCCTCTTTAAGGTGGCTCCCTGAGACCCGCGTCAGCACAAGAGCCCTGCACAGTACGACTTCAATCCTTAACGCGATACAGGCATTACGCATTCAGATATTGAATCTCTAGAAACCTCAAACTTTAATCTTCTCTTCCTTTCCTCCTCATCCTCATTGCTCGGTTCGCAGAGACTATCGCGACAGCATTACCCAATCATCCAACCCGCCGTCTACCGCACCTCCTCCCCAATCCCCCAACCTCGTAGACAGATGTAGCATGATTCGGCGAGCATATCGTCGTCGACATTCTTGAGTGCTCCTCTTGGGCGCACGAGGCCTGCTTGGCCAAGTCCGTTTTCGAGACAAAGAAGCTCTGGACGGTTATTAGAGAACGGGATCCAGCGTTCTCTACGAGGCCTCTTCGATTCGATACCCCTATTATGAGCGGTGCAAACTGGCTAGCGGGAGACTATACATTTGCTACTAGAATATAGTGCCTATAACCTCGAAGCCCTTCTTGTCCTCGCCGCCCGCTATCCCGACGGGATGAAATGAACTTCTCTTCTTAGCCATCCGGTATACCCTCCTTCTGCCTGCCTTCCGTGAGCTAATATTCAACTTTCTAGTGCCGCCACCGGATTCCGTTCTTTTGCCCTTCCACTTGGGCTCTGAAAAGGATCCTTCTCTCTCTGGCCTCGAATTGTCATGTCCTATGGATTTGCGCTAGCATCGCAGCCTCTACTCCTCTCCATTGTCGAATAAACATAATACCTATCTTCTCTTTGGTGCACGTGTTTGGAGGCTCAATCAATGGATCAACACAAAAGCTCCTTAGGGTATAGTGTTAAGAGGCTGTGCTTGTTGACCGAGAGAAGGAAGGGGCGGGGAATGGAAGAAAGAGCAATCCAGATAAGGGCGCTCGGGGGCGGACAATATGTCCACAGGGGTAGATATTAGAGAGTGCAAGCAGCAGACAAGGCCATTACAAGGATGCTGTAAAATGGGTGGGGGGGCCTTCGTTGATAATATAACTTTGAAGTCATGCAGCGTGCTTCTACAGACGAGCCACCGAAGGCGTAGATCTGCTTGTGACAGAAAATCAGCTATCAAAGGGCATGTTTGAGGCCATGGACAAATTTCCTACGTTAATGGATTCGGCGTTGCTGCGCTTCTGGTATGAGATATTCAGCAAGTACAGTCGGTCCGATCCAAAAGCGACAAAACGGTCGCTCTTTTACGCCCATAATAACTTTTTAACTACGACCCTAATTAATTTATACTAAGTAATGCGATTATAGAATAGAACCAGGCGAGAAATACCTATTAGTTAGATTTTTAATATAATTTGTTATTCATTAATAATCGAGGCTTAAAGTATACGGACCCTTTTTACTTTTTTTAATTTTTCCCCATATAAAACGCAAATATATTTGCTCGCTAAGGTTACATAAGCCCGGGCTTTAGGGGGAGATCACGGTATCTCACCAGCCTTATTATTAATATAATAATAATAATTAAGCCCTATAAGCTCAAGTAAGCCTTCCTAAATACTAAATATAGCTTTTTCTGGTACTATATATATTATATATATAGTAGGGCCCTAATTATATAGGTTTCAAGCTAATTTTTGGCCGAACTAAATCCATAAACCTTACTTATTACTTAGCTACCTTCTTTCCCTTATTTTTATATATTATCCTATTTATCTATTACCTTTTTAGATATTATTCTATAGCGTTTTTGCTTCCATATATACCAAGCAGCTTATTTAATACTTAATCCCTTCTAATATATATTTATCTAGCGGAATATACGGTTATAAAACCTCTGTATAGTCTCAATCGAATAAGCTTTAAGTGCCTCTATTACCTTAATCTTGGTATCTGAAAAGCTAGTCTTCTTTACTTAATAATATCGAGTTTTACTATACCCCTAGGATATCTCGATTAGGTTAATTTCGTAGTGGAACTTCGGTAAAAACATAGTCTTATATCCCCGATCTATAATAAGCTCTTTTACTTGGGACTTCTCTTTAAAGAAGTCTTGGTAATTCAATAGTATACGAGCTAAATAGTATATTTATTTAATAGCGGGAGGGTATTTAAGGGATATAGTATACTTAGTATCCTTTAAATACTTAAATCTTAAGCCAGGGATATTATAATCTCGCTTAATAAGAATCTATTCCATACCCTTAGGCTCTCTTTGTAACGGCTGGCGTAAGGGCATGATCTGCCAAGGACAGGATATCGGAAACAGGCACAAAACGGAGCTAAGCCGGAATTGCTTGGACGGAACAATACTAAAGGTCGAGGCATCCTCCCTACTTTGTTCCATAGCTTAGTATTTTTCAATACATGAGATTCTTGGATCTTTGAGCCCTGGCCATTGCCTCGATCCCGCCGTCACACTCTTTCTCTATTCGAATTAAGTTACTAAAGGACTTAAATAGTGCCCTATAACCCCGGAATTATATACTCTGGTAGAAAGTATATATCCCTTCTATAGGCCTTAATATTACTCTTTTTAACCCCCCCTAATTCCTTATTTATACCAAAGGCATTTAGTATATCTTTACTATATAAAGCATATATAGAAAACTAATTAAATATTAGAATAGCTATATAGTTTAGATACTTCTATTCAAATATATTAAATATCCTAGTAATCTATACTAGTAGCTGTTTTATATCTTACTAGGGGTCCCTATTTGAGCCTGGATATATAATTTAACGGGTATTCAAATTGGGATTATCCGGGATAAAAATGCCTTTATTATTTGGTATTTTAATATACTTCTCAGGGCCTATAAATTCAGAATCGTAAATTAGCCTCTCTTTGCTCTTTCCGGGCATTTTTTACTAATTATCTACTAGCCAGAGGCTCTTTTTATAGTCAAATCCATAGAAATAGCTCTTATTATAAAAGTATATTATATATACCTGAACTCTAATTAGAAGTAAAAGTTAAATCATATGTTATATACTAGCTTTATTTTTTTTATATTAAACTATATATAATAAAAGTTCCTTTATTAAGGGCAAAAATACCTCTTAATAATACTAAATTATATTAGGGCATTTATATTTATCTATATAAAGCCCTTTCTTAGTCTTATAGTAATAAAAGCCGAGCCTAGAAAGCTATAAGTAAGCTATACTATAGGTAATAGGCTTTTCTATTATTAATAATAATTAAGGCAAAATCTCCTAATTAATAGTATTTAGGAAATCATTTAGTAATATTATTTCAAGCACTTAATTAATTAACTAAATATAGCAGGCTAAAAAAATATCCTTATTATCCAGATAAGAGATACTCTTTCTTTTACTATCCCTAGTTTCTTGCGGAATATTATCCTACTATTAATAGTAATTAAATAGCCTCCTAATTCGCTAAGCTAGTATCTTTCTATTATTTAAGTAGTAATTACTAGAAGCTACTAAGAGTAATATATTAATCCTTCCAAGTTAATATTACCCTAGCTTTAGAAGCTATTAAGTATATTACTAGAATAAGTATAAATTAGTAATTATATATAAAGTATATAGCTCTTTGGTTTGGGCTAGCTTAATATCTATATTATTAAGAACTTCTTAGTAAGTTATTTATATATCTAGAGCTTTATTATTTCTATAAGCATTTCTAATAAAGGTATCCAAAAGTAGCTTATTTATTCTATTATCTTTATCTTTAAGCCTTTACTTTTTTCTTAATTATATATCCCTAGAAATATTAATTAACCCCCTAATAATATCGAATTATAGCTTCTTTTATTTAAAAAATAGTATAATTATAAAGGCCTTAAGCCTACTAGATTATTCTATAACTTGAGTATCTTTTGCCCTCTAATTATATATATGTTTTTATTAAGTTCTTAATAGCTTTACTAATTCCTTTATTAATTTGGGAATATATAAGCCTCTAGAAACTGGAAATAATATTAGTATACTTATATTATAATATAAAAATTAAAAAAATAAGATAAGAAACTTACTAGCCTATTCTATAAGTCTTTACTCTTACTATACGAATATAGGCTTCTCCAAAATAATTGTCTCATTACTACTAATAATAAGCTTTTACTAAGCCTAAAAGAAAATCGAATCTTTAAGCTCTAATTTATTATTTTATTTAATATCTAATTTATTAGAATCGTCCTCTATATTAGAGGATTTCCCATACCATTCGTTAATAGATACTTGGATTATAGCTTCTTTAGCTATAGTAAGAACTATAATTAAATCAAGAGTCAAATTAGCTCGCTTGCGTTTCTAAAGGCTTATAGAGGTAGCTATTAGAAGTATATAAAAGGGGCACTGAATTAGGTTTATAGTTATTAAGATATTAATATAATTATAGAAGAGCAGTTAACTAAGGGAGGCAGTTATATAATAACCAAAGTAAAAAAATAATTATATAAAACACAAAAATATTTGCTTGCTTAATCACGTATATTATAACTTCCTTAATAATAAAGATATTATAATTTCGAGAATATAGAATTAATTCCTATAATATATAGTATAGTTTTAATTAATACTATTTATATCAATTAGTATGGTGGTGGTTTTTATTTTTTTTTGTCGCTTTTGGATCGGACCGACTGTAGTAGAGGGGAAGGCTCGGTTCGCGGTATAACTTCGGCACACAGAAAAGGGGTTTCGGTTAGTTGGGAGGCACGCAGGACATATTGGAGAACAGGGCATGGGCAAGGAGAGAAGAACATGGCCAAAAGTAGCAGGATATGCTAGTTACTCCTCTCTGGAACGACATTTCTACGAGGGCAAGCCTCAATTCTGAGAATGCCAACAAAAGCACTGCTAGCAGCAACAAAGTCCAGAAGCCAGATCCGACACGACGCAACCTGGAACAGGCACACAATAGTAGACTACAGGAATGAAAGATGCTCTCTAGAAAAGATCGAGGACTATAAGAAGGCTGTAGCACCCAGATGCCGGGGGCGCCACAAGAACAGCGCAGCTCTGGCAAGATCGAGAAGTAGAAGTCTATGGAGACCAGCATACAGTTGGAGCAAACACTGTGATGGAGTACAGAGCTTAGGGAGAAGGGAGACTGGAAGACACACACATATGGACAGCAATAGGCTGGTATGCAGTGTACTTCATAAAAGACTCTGGAAGGAGCGGCAAGAGTGGAAGATTCTGGCCAAGCCACTTCGCACTAACAAAAGCCGCTCACGGCACCCACTAGAGTTTCGGGGAAAACAATAAGCATCCGTGGATATACGCCACCAAACTTACAGACATTTACACATCGGGAAATATCAAATTCAGCCCCTTTAGTGGCTGCCACTCCAGAAATCAGATATCAGACACAAGCATACTCGTCTCTGACATCCATTTATGCACCCAGCATGCGCGGAAATGCACTGACATCCTAGAGACATTCGTGTGTCAGAATGAATTATCCTCAACACATATATCAACTACCGTTATCGACATCCGAGGCAGGCCACGGTATATCTTCTGGTTTAAGGAAAAGGGGAAAGGGGTTAGGGAAGGGGCGCTCTGGCCAGCCAAATCGCTTCGTGGGCTAATAAGCGTTCGTTGCGAATTTTGGCGAAGCCCTTGAAAGCCCCTGAAATGCAACGATACGATAATAAATTGGCAGATTATTCAAGACATTTCAGGGAGGATTTGGTGGACTATAAATGATGTAGCTGTAAAACTCGTGAATGGTTAGCTATCTCTGGGGCGCCGCGTAAGTTCTGCGATCGTTAGTTAAGCCCAAGTGGCAAGCCTCAAGGACTTGCAATTCTCCTCCGAATGCGCTACAGAAACTTTACTATGCTATTTCATTAGAAGAAACATGATATTGCAATCTCTGTTATTTCTACCTCTTGGTAGTCGTTTATGATATGTCTGCACATCGAATTCTTACAGTTTTCCAAAGTCTGACAGCACCAACCTCGCTTTACTACACTCACGACACTACATAGTTTTGCCCGCATTACCGATGAGAATTGAAACTAATAAATCGAAAAAATATTTATTCAATCTTATATCAAAGAAAGTTCATCTTTAGTTCGGGTCATATTAAACTGCTGGGTAGATCTTTTGAAATGTCATTACACGATAACTCTCCTGTGCAACGAACATAAAAGGAACGCCGATTTTCCTTGTCCTAAATTAAAGATACACAATGAAGCAAAGGTTATGAATGTACCGCTTGATCGTTCTTTTTAGGTCTTTGAGTTATTGTTGAATATTCAAGGTCTTGGGAGAACATGAGCAAGAGGGCAGTCGAAATGTTCCACTGGACTTGAAACATTGGACGTGTCGGTTTTGGTCCTCGTCGCGGGCTCTGCTATCCAGAGAGCTGGAATAAAAATAAATGTACAGCAGAATGCCGGATCATTCGGGGCAGGCTTTTTGTGCCCCTCTCGGTGGACCACCAGAGCGCGACTGACCTTCACTATCCCAAGTCACAATGGGACGTTTATTTTGACTCGGGCGGAGAAAGAATTGGTTAGAGAAAGCTCGATATATATGAAGATTGCAAACCTCAAATGTACAGTAAGGCGTGCGTACATTGGAGAAGCGGCATTTACAGTGCGCAGCTTGACTTGGGACTTTGATATTATAAACTCCGGATGTACCATAGCGAATATGTATAATTAAATGGGAGGATTTGCGTTATTTAGCTTGACTGAAGAATATTTAGAGAGGAATAGATTTGCATTTTCCAGGTCAACTTCAGACATGGATAAAGGTTGTATTTTTAATGTACAGCGTGGGCTGGGACATTAAATGCGAGGGCCTTTTTTTCTCTCCCTAATGAGTTCTAAAATCAAGGCGAAGCAGAGTATCAAACCCCGATCTCGCTCCTTACTCCTCCTCCTCCTCTCCACAATACAACCACTCACGACCTCGCTCCTTGCACCTCGCAGTCTACCAATGTGCTATAAGTTGCTTGGTCATTGAAATCGCCATGGCTTCCAATACTGCCAAGTGCTTTCAGGACAATGAGGCTAGTAGTTGCCAGCTTCTCCAACCTCGCACTGACTGCAATAGCCTCCCAGCCCTCAAGCGCCTCCCTCATGACATCAACTCCCCACATGTATTGCTGCCATTGCTCGTCAGCCCAGAGATCTGGATTTCTGCCATTCTTCGCCTCCGTCGCCCTATTATCTCGTCCATTTGCTCTTGGCTTCCCCGCACCCCTCATCTTCTGATCCCTCACCCTCTGCTCCTCCCCATCGGGAAGATGCAGCGCCCGTCTCGTTGCAGTTGCAGAACTTTGTATCTTCTCCGCCCTCTCTTTCCTCACTGCTTGAAAGACGTTAAGTGCTGACTCAATTTGATCAACAGAATCGAGCTTCGACAGTACGCAAGCAAGAGCGCCTGCATCCTCGATACCTTGAGCAGCGCCTTGGGCAACGTAGGGAAGCATGGGGTGCGCAGCATCGCCGACCAATACGCACTTGCCATTAACCCAAGTAGGGAGAGGAGGATGAGAGTACAGATTCCATTCGGCGACATCGCCATCTGGAACATAGGAGAGGAGAGATTTAACAGTGTCGTTCCAGCCGGCGTACCACTCGAGCATCTCTTTCTTGGAGCCTTTTCTCGTCCAGCTCTGATCATCTCCTCCGTTTACTTGACAGCCCTGCTTCTTTTGTGGGTGTAGTAGGACCACATTGTACATCTCGTTGTTGCGGATTGGGTACGCCATGATATGACCGCCAGGCCCCATCCAGCGCATGCCTACATTGCTGTTCAATAACTCAAGCGCTCTTTGATCTCCTACCAGCTGTGACCTAGGGATGAGGACACGATATGCTGCATCTCCCGTCGACATCGGCCGGGCTTTGTTATCCCGATTGCGTGCCTCGTGTCCTCTACCACCGCCATTTACGGGCCTGGGTGGCTCGTTCGAGGTCTGTCTCCAACGATACGTCTCGAAGCGATCATCCCCATCTATTCCTGTACAACTCTTTTGGAAAGCTGAAGATACACTGCGAAACGAACCGCGCCTTTTGGCATCACTATTGCTTTGTGAAGCTGGAGACAAGAAATATTGGCGCATAGAGCTCTTCACGCCATCAGCGCAGATCAGGATATCCCCTGACACTAATTCCCCGGATTCGAGCTTGATGCTAGCACCAAAATTGGGATGGATGGCAATCACTCTTTTGCCAAGGTAAATTTCAATAGGGATTGGGAGGGAGGCGAGAGCCTGGAGGAGAATGGTTTGAAGGTCTCCTCTGTGAATTACACACAATGGTGCGCCATATTTCTCTCCCACCTATGTTACAAAGTCAGTAGGTCCTCTCATCGCCATGCAAAACCAAAATTTGGTACTGAAAAGTGATAGGGTTAACTTACAACTGGCATCAAAGGAGCAGTCCCGATTTCGGAATCATCTTTCCATCTTCGAAGACTTAAACCCTCGAGCACATTCGCTTTCTCCATTACATCACCAAGAATACCCAAGCGGGCAAGGATTCGGGAAGCATTTGGTGCAATTTGTAGCCCGGCACCTATTTCAGTGAGGCAATTGGCCGCTTCGTAGATGGTGACTCGGTGCCCGGTCAGAGAAAGGGCGAGGGCGGAGGTGAGACCAGTGATTCCGGCCCCAATAATGAGGATATTGAGAGGTGTGTGGGCTTTGGGATGCCAGTTCAGATTTTCTTTGAGACTTTCCATTATGTTTGTACAGATTGCAAGTGGCTTGTAAGTAAGGAGCGGAGTTTGAAGGATGAAGGAATTGTGCGAGGAATGAAATAAGATGTGGGGTCTAAAGATGTTGAATTATAGGTACTTAAATGAAAAGAAACGGAGGAACGAGCTTTCAATACAACTAGATGCCGAAAGGTTTCGAGTGGGGTTAAGGTTAGACGAATGCTTGCATTGCTTTGTTGCACCCGTGGTAAGAAAATTTCTGGAAAGTTTCTACAGTCGGTCCGACCCAAACACAACCCCGCCAAAAAAACTAAAAACGTACCACAATACTATTTATTATGAATCGCATTAAAAATACAATCAAGTTTTTACGTCCTATGCTTCTAGTTCCAGTCTATAAATCCTTATCTAGTTTAATTAAATAAGGTTGTTATTAAGTTGCTGTAGTCTCAAAAGAGTGACCGATTTATTCCTTTTGGGTCGGACCGACTATACAACATACTTTCAAGCCAAAGCTTCCCTGGGGTTAAAGTCTGCCAAAAGCTCGAGACGTTTCGCTTCACAAAAGATAGTTGCCACCAATTTGTTTCATAACTCCCTTTTGTAACGAAACTAGCATAGTTTATAAACGAGATCCACGAAGAACGTGGGGAGGTGATAAAAGGGTACTGCCAACAACCTCAAAACTCCAAGGAAGGAGCACAAATAATGGAGAATCTTGTTCGATACAGTTCTGATATCCGCTATAATTTTTTTATTTAAGAATAGTAATATTTCAAGACTCGAAGATGTTGTTTTGTTTCCAGCCTTTAAGTTTTGCTCTCGTCTCGTCTCGTCGCAGAGCAAATCATGCGTCAGGACTCGCACCAAAGCCCTTACGTCCTCACTGGTTTGGTATGTATCAGCAATACGGTTTTACAATACGGTCGTTTTTATTCCAACTTTTACTATTTCACAAAATTAAACATTCATAAGAGTCAAAAATTAGGCAAATGTGGGGCGTACCTTAATATAAACCTTTTTTCCCCGAGATGCTCTGTTAGCTTGTAAAATTATCAATAATGCTAGTTTTTTTTGTTAGGGGAAAAAAAGTTACCGTATTGCTGATCCGCACCAATATACTCAGGGTCTATTTTGTGCGAGAATGGCCGCGTGATTAGGTTGAGGACTCCTTCCCCAGATCAAATGTTTTTTTTGGTTTCGCTTGCAGTCTATCGGTTTCTAGGAATGTTCGTCGCATGATCTTGCGCAGATCTCGGGGAAATTACCCCTCCAACCACACTTCTCCCCGCCCACACCTTTTCCCCCTTAATTAATTTACGTTCCACAGATTATTATACTAATAGTCGGACGTGTTAAAGGGGCCCTTCCCTTTAGTCGGGGAAAGTGAGTTGGCCCGCGAAAGCGAGTTAGTCCGTTTTAGCGTTTTTCACCTTCTAGAAACATATATTAGGAAGTAGTTATAAGAAATCTAATTAATACATTTGATTCGCGATCTCATAGTTACCTATTCCATACTTAAGAACCAGGGTTTTTAGTCCGTAGCTAAAACCCTATAATTATTAGAAAAGTCGTGGGTGCGACACTCGCGAGAAAATCGTGTGTTAATTAATAGTCGGACTTGACGTCGCACTAAAGGGGCCCTTCCCTTTAGTCGGGGAAAGCGAGTTGTCCCGGGAAAGCGAGATATCCTGCACCGGCCTTTTTTGCCTTCTAAAAAATAATATTAGGAACTAGCTATAGAAAATCTAATTAATATATTTTATTTACGATCTTATAGTTACCTATTACATATTTAAGGACTAAAGTCTTAAGTAAAAGAATAAAAAATTATAATTAAGCAAAAGTTATAGGTTTAATACTTGCGAAACGGTTACGAATAAATAATTCTTATAATTTTTGTATTTTATATAATTTTATTACTAAAATCTTAATAACTTTCTACCTATATCTTTTTTTAAGATTTAGAGAATTATATCTAGTTTATAAGGCTTATATTTTTAATTCTATTACTTAGAATTATTTAAAAAGATTAAGGTTTCAAGTTATTAAGGATTTTATTTGGTACGGGATATCTCGCTTTCCCGGGATAACTCGCTTTCCCCGACTAAAGGGAAGGGCCCCTTTAGCGCAACGTCAAGTCCGACTATTAACCTTATTAATTTTCCTTGCGGAAAAAAAAAAAATTGGTGTGAAATCAGCAAAAGTTGCGGGCCAACTCGCTTTCCCCGACTCAAGGGAAGGGCCCCTTTAGCGACGTCAAGTCCGACCATTAGAAATTAGCCATAAGGAGCTTCCTCCGGAGTAATAATTACGTATTTGGGAGAGGTATGAGTATTAATACTCTGTAATATCGATTTCTAAGCATTTAAGGTACCTCGCTCTACTATCTCCTCCCTAATTAAATGCTCAAGTTATAGGTTTTATAAGACTTTTATAGGAAGCCTAGTCTACTACTAGCGTTTTTAGTGTCTTATCCCGTAACTCCCGTCACGTGTTAGCTTCCTCAGGCATACAGGCGCTAGTTTCGAGAGCTATATAACATGTCTATTCACGTATATAATTAGAATTACTATATATATTATACTTTAGAACCCTTATTTTAATTCTTTATATTACTTCTTTAATATTAGTAAGATTATTACTTATTAAAAGTAATATTATATTTAATATATTTAATATATAAGATTCTTTAAACTTTATATTTTATTTATAATATTAATTATATTATATTATATTTCTTAAAAATAAATACTTTTTATTAATTAAGTCCTTATTTAAAAGAATATTTTCTTTTATATAGCTTTATTATTTAGGGAGTTAAAAGAAAGAATAAATAAAACCCTTCTAAAATTATAATATAATTTCTTAAAATAAAAAAATCTGGCTTTTACTTTTTATATTATACTTGCTTATAAGGTTTCTAATAATTATTTAGCTTATAATTCTTCTTATTTTCTCTTATTAGAATATAATTATATAGTGCAATTATATAATATTTTAAGTAAATATTATAAAGAATAAATTACTTTATTCTTTTCTTTTCTTTTCTGAGAAATTAACTAACCTTTATTCTCTTTATATTAAATTCATATATCATAATTTTATTTTATAAAGGCTCTTTTATTACCCTAATTTAATATCCCCGTTATATTATTATTAGTATAGCTATTTCTTTGAGAGTTATATATATAGTTACGGGATACGGGATACGGGATATAAGTAATGAGATATAGGTAATAGGATATGAAATATGGGATATAATTATATAACTTTGTATTCTATTAGTAATTCGACTAGTAAACTAGACTTCTTTAGGCTTAGTAGATTTGGGAATTATATATTAATACTATAATATTATAATTCTTATTTCTGAATAATAATAACTTTACTAATTTATATAAATAGTATTTTATAACTATATAATAATACTATATATTACTAGTAAACTAATACTAATTAGTTTATATATATAGATTAGAGAATAGAATCTTTTAAGCTAAAGAAGTATCTAGTAGCCTATAATAAAATTAAACTAGTTTATATTAAAAGAGGGAATTACCTATTAATTTTATAAAGTATTTAGTAGCCTAAAAGAGAAAATAGCTAGCTCTTACTAAGAACTAATAACTACTTTATTAAAGAAGGGAATTACTTATTAACTCTATAAAGCATCCGGTAGCCTAAGGAAAAAGATTCTAATTCTTACTAATTAATAAGTAATTAGTTATTTAACTATTTATTTATTTAATTATTTATTATTCTTTAAAACTAACTTCTTTTAGCCTCAAGATTACTTTTTTGAAACCCATCTTTTCTATTTATATAATACCTATATCTATGAGATATTCTCTCCGGAATATATATCCTATATATGCCCTTAAAGCTCTTTAACTACTACCTTGATTTTACTATTAAATTAAGTTCTTTGAGCTTTAGACCCTTCCGGAATTATAATATTTCACTTTCTAAATTTCTTATTATAGACGAAATATTTAAAAGCGAAATATTTATTTTAATACCCTTAATATCCCTAGATATCTGGGGTATCTGGTATCTGAACTAGATATCTGGTATCTTAACTAGGTATCTGAACCAGGTATCTGGTATCTTAACTAGGCATCTAAACTAGATATCTGGTATCTGAACCAGGCATCTAAACTAGGTATCTGATATCTAAATCAGGCATCTGGAAACCTTTACTACTAAATCCTTTCTATAAACTTATTATAAACTACCTTACCTTTAAACCTCTCTTACTATAAACTATATATATATTAGGAAGGGCTTGGCTCTAGGGGTTCGGTATAGCGGAACTATAGAATAAATATATATAGATAAAGAAATAGAAAAGCGGTATTAATCTAATTACTTATAGTAATAAGAAAGTCCTGAATTACCTTAATACTAGACTATTCTAGTATAAGGTAAAGAAGTCAACTAATAATAATTTCTAGGAATTATTTAAGGAGGATTTTAGTAATTTCGATCTCGAAGTATTTAATTATCTAGATTAATATATATTATATAAATTACGAGCTACTTTATAATATAGTAGTATTTATATTAAATAAAATAATAAGGGACTTGCTATTATATAGTTCTTAGTTAATATTATTTAGGAAAAAGAGTAATATACCTAAATTATAGCTAATATTATTACTACTAGACTAGACCTTAATATAGGCCCTATTATCTTATTATATATATTTCTTAATAATAGTATTATAAGAAATTAATAAACTAAACTAATTATTACTTATATTTCTTTATTACCTATAATTACTTTTACTAATACTAGATTATAAAAAGTTAATAATAACGGATTTCTATTATTTCTATTATTTCTATTACTTCTAAATAATTCTTTAGCTAGCCTTCTTACTATAAAACTAATTAGAGAAATAGTAAAGATATATATTAAGATATAGAAGTATAATAGAACTAATAATAGTTTTAACTAAAAACTTATTATCTTTCTTAATATTTACTAATATATAGAGCTTTTATAAAAGGTATTAATAAGAGCTTTCCTTACTATATTAAAGGAACTAGTATAAGATTACTTTTATAATAACTAGCTCTCTTAATATATATATAAAGAGGCTTATATAAATATTT